GCAGACGTTGCACGGTTGAATGGCAGCATGTCCTGACCGTGAGCACTTTAAATGGTCCCTGTTTCCTTTTGATCTACAAAACATTTCTCTCTGTTTATTTCTGACATTTTTATTCAGACAGTATTTATATGGAGGCTGGTTTCTGAGAAGTGACGAAACCAAAGTATGTGGTCGCATTCCACGTTCATACGCTGCTGCGGGACATCTGATTATATCTCCACCTCAAACATGAGAGACGGTTCAAATCTGCCTCGCTGCAAATTTAAGTTTAGACGACTTTCATTACTTTAAAAATATACTAAAAAAGAAAGCAGCTTCATACAGATAACTAAAGAACATAATTTAAATGACAAAAACATAAATTAGGTGAAAAATACATGAAATTAAAAAGCAGTATTTACTATGTTCTATATTTTTTTATAATGAGAACTGTGTACAGTAGATTTACATGCACCAATTTTACCAAATGGAACTTATGCTGCCTACTTTACCAAAAGAAAATAGTAAATAATAAAATCTAATATTTCCTTTTTTGTTTTTTGAGATTTTCCTGTTGCCGCCTCACCGCTAGATTTGTTTTTGAATTTCTTCCCTTTTCCAGGTGAAATGCAAACTCAGAACCCATTGACTATTGTCTGACAATAATTTAGTTTTTTTTATTTTTGGTTAACCTGCAAACTGTAAACTGGTTGATGGTGAAACAGTCCAGTCGTAGACGTCTCTCAACTCCAATTCCATTCTCAATTTTAAGTTGTTAATTGAATTGTTAACAATGACTGCTGCACAGAAGAGGAAGTCTTAGTGCGGATAAACATTATCTGGTTATCAGCTGGCTGACCCAGAACTTCCTAAATATTGGACAGTGCCCAGAGAGGCTAAACTATGGTCAGAACGAGACGATTGGTACCAAGATTGCTGGGAGTGCTGAATATGAACCATTTAATATGTATGTTTTTAAAGTTAGACAGTGAGTGAGTAGAGGAGTCAAATACTTGTAAAACTTCAATTAGTAGCCCTGGCTATTATTCGCTTAAATCACTGAACTCCAAAGGCCTATATTTGGGACAGGCCTTTAATTGATTGAACTGTGGAGAATCTAACCAATCTAACCAAGCTAATCATATGTAGCATCTCCATGATCAAAGCAGCTAACTAATGTTAGCTCAAGTGGCCAATAAACCGGTTTTATACACCCAAGACCTCCTTAAAAATGAACTGCTTGGCAACCAAACCAGTAAGCTTTGTAAAGCTGCAAAGAGACGAGATGATTCCCTATAGCTTTGTCTTTTGGAGTGACTTCTCTACTATTGAAAGTCCCCAAAGTCCACGTATACAGGTGTTAACACTGACACTGCCTGATAAGACCCCTTCTAAAAAAGCTGTTGGCTTGCACGCATCATACTTGATTGACAGCTTCCTCTAGCTCCTTGAACTTGTTAAGATAAGACAGTTTATACTGTAATCATTGCTCAGCCTTAGAGTTCCAGCCAACCTGACCAGAGGTCTAATCAGCTAAAGTAATTAAAAACACCTGTGTGGGTAAATATGAGAGGAATTACCTGATTCTAATTTCACACTACATGACTTTCAGAGTCGTCAGATATCGGCACTGTTCACACAACACAACTTGCCTTAAACTCAGGGGTCTTGAAGCTGTTGTGGTTTTTACACTACATATCTGAGTGGTGATGGGTCACACACCACAAGATCTTTCACCTGGAGACATCCCCAATAAGTACACCATGTGATGTGTGTGTTGAAGCACAGTCAGGGGTTGGGTGGGTGATTACTTCAAAATATCAAAGTCAGTAAGTGCCAAAGCAGTGTTCTGAGTAACTTATAACTTACAGAAACATTGTGTGCAGTAGTTCACCTCCCACCTTCTCTGCCCCCTTTTAGTCACTTCCTCTTCGTCTCTCACAAACACACCATGGAAAGTTTGTCACTGCTGCTTATTTCTGTCCCCAACCTGTGTATTGTGCTCTCATTGGCTGTCGCTCGCCTGTTAGATATCTGGGGACCGTCTGCGATGCATCAGCGAGCCTGATTTCAACAGTTCACACATAGTGCTCAAGCACTGATTTGCGAGCGCCAAGCCACCGCTGGTGTGCCTCTGATCTGGGGCTTCTGTTGGGAAGCTCCAAAAATTGTTGGCAAACGAAAAATCAGGGCTGAAGTCGTGTTGTGAGGCAGGCGTGAAATGAACAAGTGGCTTTCTTGGAGGAAAAAAAGCAATATGTAATGGTTTAATAGGCAAAGAGGGGCACATTCTGTTTTTACAGGCACATTTCATTCATAAAGTCAAGTCATAGTGCTCTACATAATGCATGAAACATAATTTTATTTTATATATACTTTATTAATCCCTGAGGGGAAATTCAATTTTTCACTCTGTTGTCAATTACACACAGGTCCGAACACACACATGCACAAACAGGACCTATACATGCACTAAGTGGAGATATGTCAGAGTGGGCTGCCCATGACAGGCGCTCTGAGCAGTTGGGGGCTTCGGTGCCTTGCTCAAGGGCACCTCTCCAGCCACCAGTCCACGCTCCATATTTTGGTCCGGAGGGGGACTCGAACAGGCGACCCTCCGGTTCCCAACCCAAGTCCCTATGGACTGAGCTACTGCCGCCATTAAAGGAATGAATGAAACAGTTACATTAAAGAAGTAGTAAAAGTCGACTCCCACATGTCGACTCAAGCTCCATGCAGCTCTGAAAATCATAAACACACTGAGGCATGACGTGAATATACACACATACGGTGGCACATCTGTAACATGCAGAGGCACAGAAGCACACTGGTACACACACACACACACACACACACACACACACACACACACACACACACACACTTAGACACGACAGGTTAGAGGGTAATGGAGGTCTGAGTGGCTCGCTTGGTTGATTTCATCTGTTCTCTATCACACTGGAACAGGTCTGAGTGCTCAGTATCTACACACACACACACACACACACACACATACTCACACAGTCATTGACCACTGCAGGTAAAATTGCAGATGTAGAGGATTTGTTACAGTAAGCAATCCAGCGCCTGTCATCTGAGCTTCTCATAGAGATAAATACCTCCTTCTTCCTCTTCCTCTTCTCTCTATTTTGACACCATACTTTTTATTATCATCTCCCTCCTTCCGTCCTTCCTTCCTGTTTCCTTCTTTCTGTCCTTCATCCTCTCTTCCCCCTGCTCCTTTTTTCCTATTGTCTTTTTCATCCCTTTTATTCATTTTCTCTTTTCCTCTCCTCCTCCTCTCTCTCTCTGTCCTCATCCCTCTGCCCGCACTCATTCATACCTTTCCGTATCACCCGTTCCATTCATGCAGTTCAGAGCCAGCGTTGTCTCAGCGATATCACTGCCTGACAGCATGCTGCGTCCCGCTGCAGCGTTTGATATCGCGCTCACGCACACACACTTAGACACACACATAAAATGCTGGTGACACACTTGGAGCAAATGTGTGTGTCGGGCAGTGAGTAAGCTACAAATGAAGTGACACAGAAGTAGAAATACAAAGAGATATATATGTATAAGGATCACTGAAAACAAGCGAAATCCTGTTAGTTTCATTTATTTGAGGAGGCAAAGAACTAAAGTCCGAGATGCTGCCTGGCATCAAAGAGAGAAATACAGCAAGCAGGGCAAAAAATCTAAAGAGAGTGTATAAGAAGGAAGGAAGTGGACAATAGAGACAGATCTGGGTCAGAGTGAGGGGTAAATATATGCTGACAGGCTACCAGCAGATGAATCACATGACAGAGTGTATCCTTATCCAGCTTCTCCATCATTCTCTTGTAGGACTTAGAGCTGTCACGGAGGACAAGTGATGGTCTGCAGACGCTGACAAACTGAACGCCAAGTCTCCAGCAGCAGCAGCAGCTACACAGCAGCCAAGGCCAGCTGACAATTTACTGAGTAATAGTCGTGAAAAGAGGAATTTAGTTTGTTGCATCAGACTGGCTGTGATGATGTCAAGGCAGTCATTGACCTCTGGGCGTCCTTTATTGTTAGATATTAGATAGGCTTTAGAAATGGGAACATAGAGAAAAACTGCTGATTAAAAAAGGTACAAGAGGTAGCTGTGGAAAAAGGTTGAGGTGAAAGGAAAGAGGATGAGGAAAAACAGAGAACAAGAAAAGAAGAGAGGATAATTAGGATCACTGCACGTAATAAAAGGGATACAGAGATGAAGGAATGAAAACCTGAGTACATAAAATGGCAGAGTTGATGAGGGGGGGCTGAGCGAAAGACAGAGACGTGAGGAGGAACCAAGGGAGACATTAGAGTTCTAAAAGATGTTCTAGTGCTTAATTATTGGTGGTTAGCATATTTTTGCAAATGCACTGGCAGCAAACACCCCCTCGCCTTGCCAAAAGAGCTCATTAAGAAGAAAAAGAGAGGGAGCAACAGAAGGACTGAGTGACAGTAGAAAGCACCAGAAATAAGCAGGTATTTCAGCTGTGTCCTCTCGTGCAATCACTCCTCATTATGACCCTCTTTTTTTGGCTGGTTGCAAATTTTAGTCATGTAGGAGTCAAAATTCCTTACACTGCACGTTTGGAACAAAAATGTAAAAAGAAAACAGAGAATTAAAGAGATTTGGCAACCCAGAGGTGAGCAAAAGTATCTCTAGAGTGAGGTTTGTACTTCTGCATTGACTTGACGACATACCTTTGGCACAGGCTCAGCGTACATGGATAGTCTGTGCCGCAGCCTGACGTGCACCGTCCCAAAAATCCCAAGTGTTGTATCGAAGGCAGCTGGACTTACTTGAGTTTCTTGAGGACGTTTCACCCTCTCATGCAAGACGTTAACGACTACTGGTTTTGTACAGCAATTATTTACGAGTACAAGTTTATTTTATTAATTTCTATCTGAAATCCCAGACTGTATCACATTTCTTGTGCCTACATACAGCATGTTATCTTGGTGTATGGATGAGTTTATGGGGTATCCCTTTTACTGGTCCACAGGTACTACGCTATCTGCTGCCAGCCTCTGGTCTACCGGAACAAAATGACACCCATGCGAGTGGCTCTGATGATCGGCGGCTGCTGGGTCATTCCCACCTTCATCTCTTTCCTGCCCATCATGCAGGGCTGGAACAGCATTGGCATCAACCACCTGGTGAGTTTTGCCATGTGTGTGTGCATGTGTGTGTGTACACCAGGGGAAATGATTCACTGAGCAGCCTGTGTTGGTTTCATATGAAGGTGGAGCCGAAAATATTTTACATCTCCACAGGATGTGCCAGTTCATGATGATAATACTCTGCTGTTAAGTGAAAATGGAGTCGCCTGGAGGGGAGAAAAAAGAAGAAGCACAAAAATGAGACAAACAGTCAAAAGAAGACGAACAAAACATGTTTTACATAAACAGAAAAAACAATTAGTGTCTGCGTGCACCGAGAAACAAATTATTGTCCTGAGGAGTTTTGTATTGTTTACAAGATGGAGGAAATACTTCCTGTGTCGCTATGGAAACAACATCAACATGTCAGACACAGAGGAACAAGGCCACTGACACCACAGACATGGAGTCAAGCTGTTTCTTTATTTCCGTCTGAAAATGTAAAGAATTTAACGGATGAGTCAGTGTGTGAGTGTCTTGTTTGTGCAGTTAGGTTTGTTTAATGTTAGAGAGGATGTCAGATAGAACACAGACTTGGGAGGAGAACCGAGGTTTGCCCAACTCAAGATCAATTCGATGGGAAAACAAGTTGATTGACGATTTAAGAAAGAAAAGGCCGAAGGTTTGATCTTGACTTTACAAATGTCAGTTTCACCCAAGATCCACTTCTTGTTGTTTCTAAAGTTTTCAGCCACAGCAGAGATTCCTTCTTCAGCAGATGCAGTTGCTCAACTGCAATTCAATCCACTAAGAAATGTGAAAAGACAAATATAAAACTTTTAACAGGCACTGGACTACAGCACAAATAGACAACTATGTATCCTGAAATACAGGAAAGAAATGATGAGACGGAGATATGTGGTTCCTGTATCCAACCCCAGGGTGGGGGACCCCTCTGTGCAGAGTTTGCATGTTCTCCCTGTGTCAGCGTGGGTTTCCTCCAGGTGCTCCAGCTTCCTCCCACAGTCCAAAGACATGCAGGTTAATTGGTGACTTTAAATTGTCCGTAGGTGTGAATGTGAGTGTGAATGGTTGTCTGTCTCTATGTGTCAGCCCTGTGATAGTCTGGTGACCTGTCCAGGGTCTGTATCCTCTAACATCATCATGATACATAGCCAGTCACGGTTATAGTTTAACGGTGGCCGGTGACATCAGGGGGAAACATGGCGGGACAAGTTCAGGGCCTCTAGTTTCGCAGACCGAGCGAGGTGGAGGCGCAGTGCACCTGCGCTTCGCCAACTGGGTGTGGCCAGGCAGATTTTGCAAGTTTGGCACACCGTGCACGCTGGCGCAGCTACTCCACTTTCCCACCTCCGTCCCTCCTACCTGTGCAAGTCGGAAAGAGGGAGGAGAGAAGGCGTGGAGTGGGTTTTACACACATCACACCAATCAAATGAGCCCCTCTCCTCGCCCTTAAATGCACCGCACGAAGGCTTAATGAGAGTTTACTCAATTCGCCATGGCAGAAGAGAGCAGCAGCGTCAGACGGCCAAACTTCTCCCAGGAGGAAACTGATGTTTTGGTCCGGGAGGTCCAAGCTCGCAGTGTCCGAATATACGGAACTGCGAGCAGACCTCCACGGGCTGATGATGCAAAGGTAGCCTGGGAGGAGGTCACCACAATTGTAAATCAATGTTGCGTTTCTCTCGTGCGCGCTCTCTCTTTCTCTCTCACAGTCTCACTCTGTTTCTTTTCTTTTGACTTTTCTAAGATGACAGATGCTGAATATTTACTCCCTATCTGATGCTGTGGCTGTTTGTGGTTGGCTGAGAGGGATGTGAACTCATTAGTTTGCAGCTGTGTTAATCAAATCAGGTTGGGTTTCCATTACGCGTGCCAAACGTGCCAAACGGTGCCAATCCCCTTTGATCTGACATCAGATGTGACGGGACAGTCGATATAGAGATACATTTATGTGCTGATTGCAGATAGTTGCATTGAATAGTGGTTTTTTGGGGGGTATTTATTGCATCGTTAATGTGCCTGATATTCTGGAAACCTGCCTGTGAGGTTTTGGTGATGTGTGCGCACTGTCCGCAGGTCAGCCAAACTTCCACTTACACCGGCTGCCCTCCACCTGCGCTGACAGTAGACCTGGTTTCAGTTGGCGAGCGAAGCCTTTTGGCACGAAACTGTCACTGCACCAAGCTGGATCTGTCGACACCTCCCCCTGCTGTGCCGCCACACCCATTTCCGCGCACCTCGGTCTGCCAAACTACCAAACTGAGCGCACTTCGGGTTGCGCTGCTCGAAACTAGCTCTGTGCGGGGTTCGCCACCCTGTGCCGCGCCGGGAAACTAGAGGCCCAAGTGGCCAAAGTCCAAATACGGCAGGCTGGGGGGCTGGATTGGTCCAACAAACACCGACTCTCATCCTGGAGAGCGGTGTTCACATCCCGCACGATTGTAAAGCGGTTGAAGTGGTTTAGACACATTACAAACCTGATATACAGTAAATAAATGTTGAGTCAGGGAGACATAGCTTGCTGCTGAATTCTCCACCATTTTGAGGAGAACAGCAGAGCATGTGCTGCTGACTGCACAGTTTTTTTGACTTCTCTCTAAATTATTTTTTTTCTTGTTAAACATTAAACTTTATTCCCCTCAGGCTTTTAAAAACTCTTCAAATGATAGAATCCAAGTAGGAAGAATCAGTCTCTACACATACTGTAACTCTGTGTGCATAACTTCATATCTCAGCAGCAAAGCCAGAACTTGTGTCGAGGGGTCACTAGATATTGACTTGTTTCTACAAGTCAGAAGCCGTAAAAGTTGGAAATGACTACATTAGAATACAAGCAGCTGCAGCATCCTCCAGATCATGTTGAGTACAGAAGTAGAATTTAGAGAAAGAGGTGCAGGGGTGTTTATTATTGCACCTGAGAGTGCTTGAGAGAGCTTCCAGCTATCTCTGTGAATATGAAGCTGTATACTTGTAACTAAATATGATTCTTGGCTGGATTTTTCTATTCCTACAAAGAAATGTGAACAATCATGATTATTTTTCTGTTGAGAAACATTTCTAGAGTTGGGCATATTTTATTATTTGAAAGTTAGTTAGTTTATTTTTTTCAATATCTTAGATAAGAAAATGTGCACAGTATGATAACCATCAACTTTTATATTACCGTATACCTTGAAACCTGTGTATTGCTGCAACCCTAGTGCATTGCTCAGCTTCCTTGTCAGTATTTCTTCCTGCTTCTCAAAACTGGGGATGTGCCAACCAACGTCTACTGTTTTCACTGTTTTTGTTGATTTTATTTGTTTTGTCACTTCCATTTTGTTATTTTCTGTTTTTACTCTCCTTCCTGTTTTCTTTATCATCTTCAATGCTATTATTTTGACACAGCAAAAATTTTTTTGACAAGCTACAACAGTTTGATAAGTGGGAACTTGTGAGCGTAATTTGAGGGTGTTAAACATTACAGAATCGACCATATCGAAATTTAAAAAATGTTTTTGTGCAACTCTGTGAATGAAAAGTTTGAGATCAGTCATGATTGCAATGAATGAAAATACAGCAGTGTAAAGCAGCAGCAGGAGGAGGAGAGAGACACACACACAGACACACACACACACACACACACACACACAGACAGGTGTGCAGACAAAGACAACATGAGTGCACGAGGAGAGAGAGAGACTCCCCACCCACTACTAACCTCGCTCGCCCCCAGTCTGCCTTTATCTGAACGCCAGCGAAAGTTTCCTCCGAGCTGACTGTCAGCAGGAGGACTGGCTGGCTCATCTTTGGCAGCATTGGCATTGACTCACACATCACACACGCACATCTTTGCCTTCCTCTTACACACACACAAACACGCATACAGAGAAGTTTACAGCGCAACAGCAGTCTAAAGTTAGTGCTGTGCGGTGGCAGCGTCTCTCTTTGGGTCTAATTAGAGCTGATGAATATTCTGAGTAGCCAGTCAGTCCTGGCACAAACTGCAGCTCCAAAACTGAACAAAACAACCAGAACTCCGCAGCCACCGGACACACACGAACATGTCACCGTCTATTTTTACTGGTTCCTATTGTTGTTACAGCTCTGTGGAATACACAGCTCTGATTGGTCAGGGAGCATAGTCTGTGGTTTCACACTAAATCACATCATTTATGTCAGGAAGTGTGTTGTGTTCAGTATCACTACACAGCAGTGCAGTGTATAATTTTGTTAAAATTAGCTCCACCGCTACCAACTGCAACATCCATACATTTTCATCCACTTAACCAGGGCCGGGTCGCGGGGGCAGCAGGTCAAGCAAAGCACCCCAGACGTCCCTCTCCCCAGTGACCCTTTCCAGCTCCTCCTGGGGGACCCCAAGGTGTTCCCAGGCCAGATGAGATATGTAATCCCTCCAGCGTGTTCTGGGTCTGCCCTGGGGCCTCCAACCAGTGGGATGTGCCTGGAACACCACTAACAGGAGGCGCCCAGGAGGATCCTGATCAGATGCCCGAACCACCTCAACTGACCCCTATTGAAGTGAAGGAGCAGCAGCTCTACTCCGAGCTCCCTCTGGATGTCCGAGCTCCTCACCCTATCTCTAAGGCTGAGTCCAGCCACCCCACGGAGGAAACTCATTTCGGCCACTTGTATCCATGATCTCGTTCTTTCGGTCACTACCCAGAGCTCATGACCATGGGTGAGGGTTGGGACGTAGATGGACCAGTAAAAAGAAAGCTTTGCCTTCTGGCTCAGCTCCCTCTTCACCACGACAGTCCAGCACAGCGCTTAGATCACTACAGACACTGCGACAAACCACCGATCCACCTCATGCTCCATTCTGCTTCACTCGTGAACATGACCCCGAGACACTTGAACTCTCTCGGGGGTACCTTGGGGTCATTAAAAAGATGTTAACATTTATAAATCAACAATTATAATCCAGTTATAGAAAGCCCCTTTAACTCATGAAGTCTATCCCTGAAAGGTTTAGGGAACATTTCCTGTATGGGGTCTATACCACCAATTTCGCACCTTAAGACCACGTAACATTTCAGGGAAAAAGTCAGTGCGGCCGTGTTGTGAATGAAAGCAGTAACATTGCAGGGACAAGCACGTGAAGGGTTATATCAGACTGACAAAAAAACGCTTTCACATTAAGTACGCAAACTAGTCTGGGGCGTTGGTAGCATAGCGCCCCATGTACTTGTAGGTTCAACTCCATCTTGCGACCATTTCTGCATGTCACCACCCCGCTCACCCCACTTCACCCTGTCCTCTACAATAAAGGCAAAAAAAGCCTTAAAAAAAAGTATGTAAACTAGTCACAAGACTCTGCTGATGAAATATTTGAATCTGCCGTTTAGCATTTATGCTAATGCTTTCACAAGTGATTTAATAACTAACAAATAATTCAAGTTCTCACAAGCAACCTCCTTTTCTCCATCTTTTATCATCTTCATCCTCAGCCGCGTACAAGTACATCTGTCCTTGCCCCATCTTCTTCTTCTTTTTCTTTTGATTCGTTTTATGACAGTTGGTGCCCGTAAGTGCTGCATGACCAACATCTGCTGGTGTGCCTCTTGCCCAGTATTTCCCATTATTACCTTGGCATGTGTTAAAAGGCACAAGACAGGAATGTTCCCGAATGTAGTGCGTGTGTGAGCAGTGGAAATCACCAGTGTTCGAAAGGTTATCTCAGTAATTCACTGGAACAAAGTGTGTACATTTTCATGAAACGGGCCACTCTACATAATGAGTCTGTATAATTCTGATTGCCTGACCTTTACACTGTGGTGTACTGAAGGAGAATATCTGAGGACTTCTCCCACCACTGGAGAGTTTGCTAAAGTGCTTATGAACTGGTATGCTCCTTTACATATCTGTGGTTGAACTGAGTACTGCTTAATGGCAATACTGGATTCAGGATTGTTGCATCAGTGTGCTGAAGAACTTCGATTTGTGAGGTATTGAATCACCTGGATGAGTCAAAAGCAAGCAATTCTATGTGTGCAGCACGTTTCATACACAGCTGAACACAGTGTGCTTTACAGTAAAACATAGAAAAGATTTAATAAGATAGAAAACATATGAAATAGTCTGCATAGCATAACTAAAATAGTCACTCAGCAAACCGAGTGCACTCACTCACACAGAGAACAGAAAAATAACAAAAGCAGACTTCACCACCAACTTATCTTCATCTTATCTATTAATGGTCTCTCAGTTGATTTTATAAATCACAACATAAAATGACACACTGTTAAAGATCCTATCATCAGATCATCAAATTACCACCCACCCCTACTGGTGTCGTAGCCATGGGTGTTTTCTGCAAACATTTCTAAATCTGCCAGTGTAAGAATATATTTATTAATCTGGCAGAAGCTTTTTATTTAGCTTGTCATAAAATAATAATATCATTATTTATGGTGTTTCAGTATTTTTAGATCAGACTTTTGTATTCAGCGGATTGATGTGCAGAGGATGACTTGCTGCTCCTTACATGCAGCTTAACATCAGGTGAAACACATAACCAAATTCATTTTCACAGTCTAAGTTTATATATTTTCATATAAAAGCTGAAATTACTCCCTCTGATTAATTAAAAAAAAAAAAAAAAAAAAAAACTTAGCATGAAGAAAATATTAAGACGCCAGAAATAAGCACACTCATTACAAACAGGGTGAGATGAATTTTAAAATCATAAAATAACAGCCATCAGCACTCTGATGAAAAGGCCTCATTCCTCATTACAGGTTTGATGTGTTTTTCTGTGCTCGGTTAATCAGCAATCAGTTGACTTTAGTAAGGCGTAAAGGTGGTGGAATTTACTGCACACACACTCTGGAGCTTCAAAGACATTTCAAAGACAACGACATCTTTATTTTTCTGAGGTGCTTCTTAAAAAATTATGATGTTGTCTTCAGATTTAAGGGCGAATGAGTGACAAGAAGGGCTTCCAGTGTTCCTTTTGGCAACACTTGAGTGGAATAAATCTGTATTTAAAGAAAGAAATATGATCAGTGAGAAAGAGCTCCATCAGCTGGACAAGCATGAAGCACGGATAATAAATAAACATCTGTGTTTACTTTTACTTTTATCATTGTGTCCATTCAGATAACCTTAATGCTCACAGGGAGACACTCAACACTTAAACACGTCAGCCCATTCTTAAAAACAACTTGAGTGTACAGACGAGGGAGCGTGGCCTCCACTCGGAGATATGGATTGATCTCTGTATTATTCATCTCATAGCCCCGAGCCGTAGTTTCCCCACAGAGATGATAGCGGAGGAAAAACTGGGATGGGACCTCACTGTGATTAATGGTGACATGCAGCGCCTCCTTCTCCCTCAGGAGCTCCATGCTTACTACGGAGACTCAGCTGAGGAGAGCGTCGGATTTTAAGGGGGTTGTTATGAAGTCTGGAGGCGTTTCAGGGCAAAAAATAATAAATGTATTGTTCGCAGAATTGAACCTTTAAGTTAATTAGATGTGTGTGCATGAGACTGAGTTGATTTGTGCCTGAAAAACATTTTATTCGTCTTCTTCTGTCAGCTGAGAACAAGATAGTGAAGCTACAGAGGCAGTGTTTAATACATGACAGTACTTAGATGACTGTCAATGGCAGCTGGTACTAAAATGTACTGTTTTCTGTGGAAGCCCTGAGAAGCAAGTGGGGGAAAAAATTCTGGTTATCTTAGTCTGATCTAAATTGTTGTCTTTTCTGTGTTTATGACTTAAGAACAGGTAAAAAGAACAGATGTTTTGCGAGGAAAATCTTTATTTAATCTTAATTTTAATTTATTTAATTTAATTTAATTTTTTTTTTATTTCTTTCATCTGCACAGGTGGGAAAACAAGTTTTGCCAGGTGAAAAAAATGCCAGTATAATTTTTTTTAAGTTATTTTATTTGTTTATTTATTTATTTTTCAGGAAACAGTTAAAAAAAATTGGGCTTATTATTCTGTCAAAACTTTTTTTTTTTATTTGACGTGCTCTAAATTCATAAACACAGGAGAGACTTAGACTCGGAAAATGGATCACCTGAATTTTTTTCTTACTTGCCTCTCAGGGCTTCCGTAGTTTTTTCTTTATAATAAGTCAGAATCAGATTTGAGCCAAGCAACCAGAGTGTCTCAGCAATAGCAATATTTGTCAGTAGGCCAGTCCATCAGTCCGACTCCCCATTCAAAATCTCATTCACAAAGTTGTGTTAAATAAAAATCCCCTTTATGAGCTTTTTTCAAACTTTCACTCCTGTGATTATGATATGGTTATTCTGAGTCAATTAACACCATTGGTCTAAGTGTGGGGAAAGACTGTCTTTGGTAACAGGAGGTCAATAATAACTGTTGGTGGAGGAGGGATGGAAATCCTTGCTTATGTTTTTGAAGGTTGTGTGCCCACCTGACTAATGTACCCTTCCCTTTTGCTTGATTAAAAGAATGCAAAGTCCATTTTCCGTCCATTCAATAGTCTGGTTTTCTGATTTGTGATGACAATTGAAGCCTCATAGGGCCAATATATGGTTATAAACTTTAAGTCTTGATACCATGAAGCAGCAAACATTATTTTTACCTTGGGATAATCACACCTTCAAATCTTACATCAGGCTGCCAACATAGAAGTTTCATTGCTGCTGTTTTTACATGATGGAGAATAAAACAAAACAACGGAAATGTCTGCGTGACTTTCGACTCAAGGTGCTTCTCTCACTGTCCTCTCTGATGTGACTTCTTCTACCAGATCGAGCAGCGGCGCCACAACGAGGGCAGCAACTCCACATCCTGTGTCTTCATGGTCAACAAGCCATACGCCCTCACCTGCTCCGTGGTGGCCTTCTACATCCCTCTGGTCCTCATGGTGCTGGCCTACCAGAGGATCTACGTCACAGCCCGTGCACACGCCCTGCAGATCAGCATGCTGCAGCGGGCGGGAGGAGCCGGTGCCAGTGCGCCTGGTACTTCTGGCGCCGGTGTCGGCGCTGGTGCAGACTCTGCTGACCATCAACGCAACCACCGTATGCGAACAGAGACAAAGGCAGCAAAGACTCTGTGCATCATTATGGGGTGTTTCTGCCTCTGCTGGGCGCCATTCTTTGTCACCAATGTGGTGGACCCGTTTATAGACTACACGGTGCCAGACCAGCTGTGGGCGGCTTGCTTGTGGCTGGGCTACATCAACTCCATGCTGAACCCCATCCTCTACGCCTTCCTCAACAAGTCCTTCCGCCGTGCCTTCCTCATCATCCTGTGCTGTGGGAGGAAGAGATACCGCAGGCCATCCATCCTGGGGTCCGGCGCTCCCTGCACAGCCACGCAGATCAACGGCTCCACACATGTACTCAAGTAAGTCCATTAAATCATTTCAGTGTTCAGGTCTGGCTCCATGTTTACCAGGTATAAACATCTCAGAAATTAGAATTGAGAAAACAACAGTATGCATGTACCTTAGGTGATATTGCCTGATCATACAGTTGGGTATCATTTAAAAATTTACAGTACCAGTACCAGCATCCTGAGTGATACCGAAACCAATAGAGTACTTCATTAGCCACTCATAATGTGAATGGAGTGATGTGTGTTATAGCCATACTTTCAAAAGTTTTGGGGGCATCTCGGCACGCTGAACTGCCAACTCTGCTAGTGCACCGTGATCGACCTCACCACACCACAGACTGCATGGGTTGTAGTTGCCACTGCAGGAGTGCGAGCTCTGCCCCGTGGACAGGGCTAACTGTTAGCATCACATGGCTAATGTTGCCTAATAGTTAGGTTTAACAGGATTTTACGATTCATTTTGGTTTAATCATGAGTGTGTTTGGACCATTTATCAGCCCAGTGTTAGGTGTTAGCCGCTGCTGTTGTGCTAGCTCATGCCAACCAGGCAGACATTGTACTGACTGCTCATGTGGAGGAGACTGGCGCTAGATATGGCAGCAACAGAAATTCTTCTGATCAGGTGGGAAGTCGGCACGGTCCAGGATCAGTCCTCTGTTGCAAAAAGGATCAAATGCAGTTATTGTTTGACTGGAGAAGTTTTGATACTGAACAGCACTGGGTTATTTTAGTTCATACCTTATAGGTGTCGAGCACTGATACCTGGCCGTAGTGATGATCCTCAGCAGTTCTTATTTTATACTTGATAGATTCTCAGTGGGTATGTAGAGTTCAAGTAAGTAAGAAAAGTCTTGGAAAACAGATTTAATTGTATGAAAAATGTCCTCATATCTTGAGAATATAAGGAGAGTGAAAATACCAGCTGTATTATGTCATAAAACCGTCTTTTTTATCACTCTTTCTTATAACAATACAGCTTTTTTCTCAAAATATTAGCACTATATCTTGAAATCACAACTTTGTATTAAACTCTATAATGTCCCTAACGCTTGGCAAACACTATACAGCTTTTTAGCCCATTTTAGAAATGCTGTTTTATTCCAACTCTCACTGTACGAGTAAATCATCTGCGATGTAATGTTAAAGCAAAAGCTCAGGATTCATGTGTCCACACTGTACAGTCTGATTGTCAAGCCATGACCTGAGTGCTCACACTGTATGCGTAAAATAGACAATAAAGCAGACCGTTAGCCCCTGCAGAGTGTTCTGGCTATTGACAGTTGTCAATAAATGTTTGTTTGAAGGATCCAGGGCTGCAGGCAGGTAGAAGTTTGTTTGCTGGCAGAGGTACGGTTCACAATCATGTAGAGACAGACGTCCCAAAAAAGAGCTTAAAATGCAATCGCGCACAAAGTTTAGTACACGTTTTTAACCCCTGTCTCCCTGGGTCTCCTTCTTTCTCTCTGTCTCTCAAGATATCAGCTACGATTGATTGAGTGAGAAACAAGGCACTGACTTTGGGGGATTGACTCGTGGCTCTGCTTTAACTGAGCAAAAGCTTGACAATGGCTGACCAGGTTTCTGACATGTCAGAAATTCATCCCAACATCTGACAGTAAGAGTCGGGAAGAGTCAGTCTTGTTTCACACATTATATCTAACAGACCTTCACCCTTGCAGTTCTTGTTTTTGCCCTTCATCCTTCACCTGTCCTGCGTACAGTAATTACTGCAGACGCCTACCAAATAACATTCAGTGGAGTCAAATGGCAAGTGGCACCAGCCCACTGTGATAAAAATGATTTGCTTTCAGGTGTGTTCAAGATGACTCTTTATCTCTGTAAATACCCTCCTGGTCCCTTCACGTTCGAACACACAGTCGTGACTCATTACTCTCCCGACCTCTTACTGTTTCTAAACATAGAACACATGTTTCACTGAGATAAGAGTCTGACGTTTAACGTGTGCTCCGTGGAGGCCTATTCCATACTTAATCTTCATTTTTTTCCCGCATACTCCGTCCCTGCGTCTGCTCGGACAATCTTATCGGTATTCAATAATGATAAATTGAGCACAGCAGGTTATTTTTCATAGGATCGTCGTTAATGCTGAGAAGGTCAAACGATCATGCATGTATTACATTACATTATACCTAGTATAATGCAGTATGTAGTAGTATCTGACTACATATGTATGTGACATGTACTGTATGAATAATATATCAGGTGATGAAAAAATAGCTCACAGGTATTTTAGGGATATTGCATCACCCAGTGACCCCACTAGGAATTTTAATAGCAGAGCTCTTCCATGCGCCTCCACGCCAGGTGTACAGATGACATACTTTATTAAATACTAAGATAATACACTTTCTTGAGCTTTTGCTCTTTGCATCACAGTACAGTGATTTTTGATGGCAGTCATGCAAATGTCCTTCATATCTGAATTGTTGATACTGTGACCAGAAAGCTGAGTTTCTGTTCTTAAGCAGAACAAAGGACGTCTTAATTGGCTAAAACACAAAAACAAGTGGTATGTTTGAAGCTGAGAAAGAAATACTGTGCGTATTTTCTCTATTTGTGCAGACTAGATACTTTTATAGACTTCTAAATCTTTTTTCTACACCGTAAAACAGTGCAGAAGTCCCATTTCACTTTGTGTCCCCTTTATTCTCCTGCTATAGTATAGACGTAGCCACTGTGATGTCATGCACAGGTTTGTGGACTTCTGTTCTGATGACTCAAGTTTGGCATTTTGGCTTATGCCATCTTGGTTTTTGGAGCCGAAATCAACCATACTATCAACATTCAGTGGCCGGCGCTATGGCAGGTGTCACAGTACACGGCATTTCGCAGGAGGCAATTGATGATTTTTGGAGACATAACAATCAGATGTCATTGAGAAGTGACCAAAAGGGCCTAAACTACGCATTGGAGGGATATATTCATCGTTTTATTGTTGAGAAGGTTGACGAAAAGCTTAAATTACAAGCCAAAATGTACAGGTCACAGTGTACGCTTGTGAACCACATCTGGTTGCCGTCGCCATCAAAGACAACAAGTTAAAGTGCCACTGAAGTTAAGGTTTTTGGCTCAGAATATGAGAAAAGGATAACGGCCTTTTTACCATCTTTACCAAGAGTGTCTCTCCGTTAGTTTGGTGCTACAGTATTTACACTGAATCATTCAGCATAACGTTTGCCAACCTTTGTTATCTCTGCCATTACAGATAAGTTAATGAAGCTAAGCTCCAGAAGTTAACGTTAGCTTAACTAGAGCCCTTTGGACAACAGCTAACAATGATGTACGATCACCAAAGTACAAAACTAGAACAAAATAGGCTAATGAACTCCCAGCAAACAAGGTGACATGATGAACAACGCAGCTAGGAGCTAACGTTAGGCTAACTTTAGCTAACGTTAGCTAGAGCTGTTGAAGATAACTTTATATTTCTTTCCAGCAAAGTGACAATATGTTGCCTCAAACACAATGTTGACTTACCTTAGAACAGATGTAGACATCATTGTTAATCTTATTCACGTTGAGTTGATGTTGTGGTCTAACGTTACCACACAACTTTATCCAAAGGAGACACTTTTCTCGGTTGAGATGTGGTTTAAAGTGTAAAAAATACACCTGGTCGCCCAGCCTCTCAGGATACCTTGTGTCAGAGTTGCATGTACCCCATGCACACCGTTTTCCGAGTGTATGGGAATGGCTATACGCACTGTGATTGGCTCATCGCGTTTGAGGGCGGGACTTAGCCATAGGTCAATTGATCAAGAATTTGGAACTGTGGAGGAGCAAAGGGTGGATCTGACTGAGAAACTGAGGAAACTATTGGCAGACAACCTGTCGCTCAGAGTGACCTGCCCTTAATTATGTGTAACTTTAAGCCTTAATAAAATGCAAACAGGTGAGTTATATAAAAATTCACCCCCTGTACAGTTGTCATGAATGTTGAAATAAGTCATAGAGACCAAAACCATCCTTTATACCCAACTGTAAACGTGTTTATTTTTGCTGTAAAGTTGGGCATTATAACATGGAGGTCAATAAGGATCGACTCGCGCTTGGAAACAGCCTCTAGTGGCCATTAGAGGAACTGCAGTTTTAGCAATTGTTGTCTCCATTTTTCAGCCCCACAGTCTGCTGCTTGATTATGACCCAGTCATGTGTTTATTGTGAGGCAGCACCCTTTAGTGGACGTAGTTAATTTTGTCTGAGAAATGTTCAAAGATTGAAGAGGTCCCTTTGGTGGGAATGAGGGGTGGTGGCTGGGTCAGACAAACACAGAACTTTTACTTATACCAGTGTTCACATCCCTAAGTCAGTGTTGACTTCTTTTTAACAACCTACCTACTTTTTTTTTTTTTTTGCCTAAACCTAACCATGAAGTTCCATAGTGTGATTGCGTCCAGTTCATAACGTGAAGTTGGGAATTCAGTGAAATTCTGTTTAAGATGCAAGTAGTGATTCAATGAATATCGTTTCACAGAGTAGTAACTGAGAGATTTTAATTGAGCTAAAAATGGCAAGAACACCAGCAGGCTGCTCTGATAAAAAAAAAAAAAAACCTAAATTTTACAGATATGGAGTTTTAAAATTAAGATTTCTTGGACCTCCTTGCCACTTCAATTAACACCTCATCTCTTGCTGTGTGAGTTTATCTCTGCAGAATGATTTACCACCCTTTCCCCTGTTGTGTGAAATTTGTATTTCTGACATAAACCCAGTCTCACTATTTCCAGCAGTTCTTCTCTTGAAGATAATTAACAACCATTATGTCCAGTGGTGTAGTGGAGGGTATACGCATGGGGGATACCTACCTCTTTTTCTAGCAGTTTACAGTATACCCACCTATCAACCAAAAAGCCATTGGGATATATAGGAGAGTATACCCACTCCGTCATCAATAATCTACCCATCTACCTCGAAGTACACCCACCTCGTCAACTACCACTAAACCAGTGGTTATATCATTTATGTAAGTACAGACCTGAGACAACCTT